CGTGGAAGAAGCAGTCCACAATTGTAGCATCTGTCAAGCAGCAGATAAATCGGCAAAGACGTCGCCTGCCCCGCTGAAACCTGTCGAGCTAACAGAGAGACCATGGCAGAAACTTGATTTGATTGATTTGTGGGGTTTAACGTTCCAAAACCACAATATGATTATGAGAGACGCCGTAGTGGAGGACTCCGGAAATTTTGACCACCTGGGGTTCTTTAACGTGCACCAAAATCTGAGCACACGGGCCTACGACATTTCTGCCTCCATCGGAAATGCAGCCGCCGCAGCCGGGATTTGAACCCACGACCTGCGGGTCAGCAGCCGAGTACCTTAGCCACTAGACCACCGCGGCGGGGCGGCAGAAACTTGCAATGGATATCGTTGGTCTCCTGGAGAGGGCGCCTCCAGATTGCAGATTTGTGCTGACACTCGTAGATTACTTCTCAAAATGGCCAGAAGTACAGTTTATAAAGGAAATTTCTACAAGAACCGTGACCGAGTTCCTGCTCAACGTATTTGCACGGGAAGGCTATCCTGAAGTGATAGTCTGTGATAATGGGCCCCAATTCAAGTCAAAGGAATTTGTCAACTTCCTACAAGAACGAGCGATCCGCCTGTCGCACTCATCTGTTTATTACCCGCAGGCAAACGGACAGATCGAGTGGTTCAACCGCACGTTCAAGACTTACCTACAACTGGCCCGTCTAGAGCAACGACCACTGCGAACTGCTGTACGGGATTACCTCGCCGCATACAGGTGTACACCACACACCACAACAGGAGTGGCCCCTGCGGTACTTTTACATGGAAGGCTGCCAAGAACGAAGCTTGACATCTTCGGCTTATCACCCGAGTCCTTCGCAAAGGCACCCTACCAGGAAATGGCCAGGCTGCGGCAACGTATCAAGCGCGGGCAAGAGTACAGCAAAGCCTACACCGACAGGAGGCGAGCGGCAAAAGCGACAACAGTGGCAGTAGAAGACATGGTGCGGGTGAAAAAACCATTGGTTTCATTCAAAGGTGACATCTCTTTCTCGAAGCCAAGGAAAGTCGTCGAGCAATGCGGCCCAGCATCCTTCATTCTCGACGACGCAAAACATGGAACGCGGCAAAGCTGTGCAAGGTGCTGCTCGGCGCCCTGGCGACAATGGCCTTCAGCAACATTCTGCAGGGCGTGAATATTCTTTCCATCACGATCCCGGTGACGCGAAGCTTCTCGCTGCAACATGGCAGCCAGCGTCCGCCGAGGCAAGTGCTCCCGCAGCGAAACCTGTGCATAGTGCAGATTACGATTCCCGCTCACCAACGAGACCAGCGGCCGGACAGTTTCCTGCTTCAGAAACTGTTTCACGCCCGCCCGTGAACACTACAGAAGAACCTGTGGTGTCGTGCCCACCTGGTCGTCGCATTCAGCCGCACCGAGAGAGACGGCGACCGGACAGATATAATTATAAAGTGTGAATGTGTAAATATTCCTTAGTTGGTGTACTTGTTACCTAATGTATTCAATATTTTTGGCATGTGTCTATATAATTTTGTGTGTATATATTGATGTGTATTTCTTGTTGTGTATTTCTCGTTCCACATATAAACTGTGCGCGATTAACCTGTACTAACGTACTAACACTGTCCAAAAATTTAAAAAAATAAATGAGGGAGGGAAAATGTTGTATCCTGTATATAGTAGTTTCGGTTTCTGTGTTTGAGTTGGCAACACTGGGTCCTTGTGATTGTATACATTTGTGGAACGTCTAATAAAAAGGGAGAGTATGCAACCACTACCCGTGAGTGCGAGGCACGTCACCCGTTCACTACAATGTGGATGAGCAGCAAGCGGGGCTCCTAAAGTTTTGTGCACTTGATACAAAGTTTCCACGTCACTTTCAACCTGCTACTACAGGCTCTGAATACCTTATTTGCAATATAAAACGCACACACCCTATCAGAGCTTTCTTTTTTGTCGCTATTCGCGCCATCGAAGCTGGTGAGGGCAGTGTCTACCGAGATGAATACTACAAACCGTATTATGGTTCACCAATTTACGAAATCACCCGCTGAAAACAACTAGCAGCCTCTAGCTGAGCAATGACGAGAACGGAGGTGGCTTCTCGGGCTTCTGCGGCTAAGTGCGACACAATTAACATTACTTCTAGCGCCCGCCCGCTGAGTCAAGCTCCACGTAATCTGAATACTTTTGCAGCACTTTTCCAGTTTTGAACAACGAGCTTTTGCTATATTTGATATCTACAAGATTTTAAGTGCGTCATTCACCATGCTTCTGGGGCCTACTGCATCAACACTCACACAGGCCCATTGAGCCAAAGCGTGGCGGACCTGGGGAAGCCCGTCACCGAGGCAATGATCCACGGGAATGGAAACAGTGGTGGATGAGGCGACTGATCAAACAGAATTTCACAAACGCTTCATCTATGAGGGCGCAAAGTACCGACCATGTTTTCGCAGTGCCCGTGCTGCCTAAAGTACACTCGCCGAAACCCCGTAAGTTAGTGTTCACGAATCTCTGCTCATAATACTTTGCCTCGTGTTCCAGTGAGGCTTGCGATTAAGGCGCCGGTGCCGCCAATGCCGTTGGAACCCTCTGCGCCTTTTTCACAGATGCAGAGGGCACACGTCCCCTTCTGGGTGTACAGACATGATAACAAACAAGCACGTACACTCCTCTAGGTCTATAGAAAGAGACTTGAGCCATTACTCAAAACATGCACGCTGCCGCATTTACAAACCGCTCTTTATTTCTCACTGATAGTCTTTATTAAAGAAACGCTACTCTCTTATTCCTGCAAAACCAAGATATAAGGTTTGTAGATGCATGAGGGGACTGTTGCAGAAAAGAATAGCTGAACCTACAACTGACTCTCAATGACGAGGCTGCTATGAGTTTCTCGCGAAGTCATCACAGCATTCGGACGAGCTACAGAAGCAAGGCCTTCGCTCATAATTATTGGAAATTTGCGTTTGATTGGATATCATAATGACAGACTTCTGAAATAAGTGCGCATAGACAAACAGTGGCAGTGAGCCTCAGCAATAGCTTGACCTTATTGGTGAACGTGGTTGGCGAGAAGTCAACAGCGTTTCTCACCAAGTGAATGGCGTGTGGTTCACGAGTTTTATATTCATCTATACTGTCACCCCCATCAATGATATTTGCATTATTCATTGCAGGACAAAGGCCTCGCCGGAGCGTCACCTATTGGCCTTGCATTGTGGGAGCTGATCCCACTCTCTCGCTGTGAACAGTTCATCTTACACCTTACACTCAGCCATCTTTGCTTTCGTCCATCTCAATTTTCTCGTTTCACTGACACGCGGCTATCTACGCTTAGCGTTCTGTTGTCCACATGAGCAGAAAGACTGCCTAGTCCACTATAGCGGCACACTTCATGACGCAGAATCAGTCGCCAGTGCAGCGTGAAAAATTATAAACTTATTCTTGGGGAATATAGCCCGAATGGAGACATCAATCACGCTTCCGGCGTCCTTCTAGCGAATATTCGTCTTCCAGTGTCGTAAAAAACTCAAGCTACGGCTGCCTGTTTACTGATTCACTCTGTTCTCTTGCTGTTTCTAAACGTTATGCCTAACAGTTTTACCTTGCGGCTTTGTATGACCAACCAAATATTTAAACCAAAATTGGAAGCATATCCGTTCAGAAGGAAGGGTCAATCTGATCTCTGGCAATCCTCGAGAGCACAGCAGCATTTTCAGCACTTTCTCTCAGGTAATGCAGCGTGCACGTCTAAGTTCTGGCACATTCTGCATAGAACCTTCACTCGCGTAGCTTTTTCAGGAGCCGTGACAACTAACAAAGCTACCATGTCACAGTTTATTTAATATTCTCGTTTGCCACGCTGTTTTAGGGGTAGGAAAAACAGCGAATAAGGACGGCAAAGTAGGTGGTGAAACAAATTTGTATGTGTTCAAAAATAACTGCTGAGCTGTTGTGCTGTTACTCACAGCAATCCACGTTTGAGAGGGGGTCACAGTTGTCAATTCGGCATGGGCGGCAGGCACAAAAAGAACCATGTGCAAGTAATCTCAGGGGGCCAAATTTCCTCAAAGTGCAGTGCACTGTAGCTGTGTCGTGGCGGAACATGGGAGAGGCCTTTTCCCTGCATGGGGCGTAGTTAGGTTGGTAATGATGATGAGGGTGAGAGATATATTGATATTTGACTGACATGCCAGCACGTACAGTTTCTTGTTCGTTTACAGTGCCAGTCGTTCCAGTGAATAGCAAAACTCTACGTAAGCCAAAGGCAAGCTTTCTTACGCACGTATTTCTCCCGAGCAATACCGTCTTGCGTAGTGTGCTAAAACAAAAAAAAACTACCAGGCGTGCGTGAAACGCACGGCAGAGTCAAAGCGAAAGCTGAAAAAGTCAGCTTTATAAAGCATTTTCTTCCACTTTTGGGGTAACTGCTGTAATCAAAATTTCATGCTACTCACTACACTGTGAATTATAAGCATCCATTATGCAATTATTCGCTGTTCTTCGAAGAAGTGTGGTACCTGCTAAACACTTGTTAGGCATTCCACGCAGTTGCTTAATTATATGGTTGACGTTGGAGAAAAATGGTCTGAGGCTTTTGAGTAGGTTTGAGCAATGAACGACACACTCGTTACGCAATTCGCATTGAGTGATGCTTGGCTGTTGTTTTACTGCTATAAAGCGCCTCATTCTGCATGTTCACGCGATTCCTTATCGCACAGGCATAAGGTCAGTTTAAAACGGAGGTTCAATCAACCTTTAGCGTCGCTAATTGGTAGAACACTAGGCTTTCCCGAAGGGGATCTACGCTCGAACCCCGTTCCCTAGTTTGCACTTTTTTTCTCGTTTGCATTTATTTATTATTGCCCGGTTATGGACCCCGGCGGCTGTGGCACATAAATACGTCAACCTTGTTGTGATCTCATCACAGCTTTTTCTGTAAGATGAACAGGTGGAGCATCAGTAAATGCACAAATAATGCCACAAGATATGCATAAAGAAGCACTTTATTGACTCATATTATCCATGCTACTCCTCTGTTTTAAATTGATGGTTGTAAATACATCCAGAGTCTTCATTCAGCTCCTTTTGCTCAACATTGCTGCTTGCACTTTTCCATGCAAGTGTTTTTCGGGCAGTGTCTAAAGTGGGATTGAAGAGGTATTTCAATATGAGTCAGAGCAGCTGTCTATAAATATTGTACATTGCCTATTGTGGACATAATAAAGTTGTTTCACTCGCTCACTCACAACTACAAATCATGTTTTCTAGATAACTATAAAAAAACATACAATCCCAAGATTTGGGGACAACTAGATGCTTTGCTTATAGTTGTGTTTCGGTTTGTTCCACGTAAAAAAACTAACCGTTTTGAACTTCATGAGCAGACTGGTCAGGCTAAAAAATGGTGAATGCAACTGCAGAACATTTGCTGGCTGGTGTTTCCTGACAAAGCAGCTCCAGGACATGATAAGCCAAACGGAGGTGAAAGTACGAAGATTAAACAAATTCTTGTACTACTTATCGTTTTCAAGCTCGCTGAAGCGTCATGCGTTGCCACTCCCATAGACAATAATATACATAGGAAACTGTATAGTGTAGTTCAGCTGTGATTCTTCTCGTGTGAGCGGGCGCGAGGAAGGTGGTATTAAAGTCAAATGAGTCGGGCACATGCAGACCATGCATGCTAAAGGGACGCTTCGACGTTTTGACTAAAGTCGCCAACTGAAGGCATGTGAAGGCGTTGCCAAAATTGCACCTTGTTTAAAGTGCGCTGAATCTGACATACGCGGTGCAGGTGCTAAGTGCACGGATCGCATCAATGATAAATTACCTCACTTTGCCACTCAAAGACGGCGATACCACTCATGTGACAAAGATCCCTATCAGAGGCAACTGTGATCTATAAAAGTCGACTTTTTTGAGCCGCTAGAGTTGGTGGCCGTGACGCAGTAGATAGCGTGCTCAGCCCTTTTTGCTGCGGATCGAGAGGTTGTTTGTTGCGCAACCGTTGACGAAATTTATTTTTTTAAGATCTGTTGATGTACATTTAGGACGTCACGTTCGTGACGGAAATGCGAAACTTAAATCTTAGTGCGTCCCGGCATAAAACGCTTTCGTGTTAAGAAGCCATATCGGATGAAAGCGACCAGTTATGGAAAACTACTCTCAATTATATTCAGCACAAATACACTGGAACAGTCTGGCATATTCGCAGTATCATACAGCCAACCGTATTTGCTTCCTACGGCAATTCAGTACCATTAATTGGTAATTTATCTCACTCAGTCGATCTCCAATTTAACACAACAATCACTCCGGGAAACATTGCGGTTTGTGGTGCGACACTGTAATTATACCAGGGCATTCCGGGGTCTCTGCTTCATATAATTGTGTGTCGTTTTTTGTGAATAACTCCTTTCGCCAGATATCATTTTTTGCCCTTTTCGACATTAATTTACGGCAGGCAGTGACTGTCGTCAAAACTATGGCGCTTCGAGACGTCCCCAACTTGTGGTTATGAGCTATATCCATGTTATATGAACTTTTCCACAGTATGACATATACTCTCCGATGCACACAGTTATATATTTACGCCTGACCAGTATTATCTAGATAATACATGTTAACGTAATATGTTCAAGCCCAAGACGCTGTGTCCTCAGCTACCTATAAAGTTGCTGAATATTATAGACTTAAAACTATTTAGGGGACTTCCAACTCAATGCATATATTCCGACAACCACATGAAAATAAAATTATTCCTAGTGGTAGAACTCGATACCTCACGAGTGTGCTTGCCATTATTTTGAATAAAGCATCGGGTATTATTTTAGAGCAACCGCCTGGATCAATAGGTAGGTCAATTTCTGTAAACATACTTGAAGGGTTACTGCAGATTTCATGTAAAACGTTACATTAATTTCGCATGAATTAACGCCACCTATTGTGGCATTAAACTCGTATTAATCGCACTGTGCACCAACAATAAGTGCTAATTTTGAGCTGCGCATATTGTGCTGCCCGTCAAGTCAAACATTGCGGCGAATATGTGGGTATATCCCCTCTGAAATGCCTGTAGGCCTTGAGGGTACAAATAAATAAAATAAAAAAAATAAATATTTAGTCTCTAGGCTATGCGCAGTTCTCAAAAAAGTCCTTGTTTTATGATTTCATAAAACATGCAAGGTCTTCAATTTGTACGAGTAAGAAAATTAGAAGGCTAGAGCCGACTGGTGGTGACATTTCACCACTTAAATCACATTGCGCGACGATGGCATAGATATATTTCAGACACACTAGCGCTGGAAGTAGAAGAGTACATAGAGCTCGTTTGTATTCATGCAGAAGCTGTGCTATTGTTTATGTGAATGCTTCCACTATTTCGCGTTGACGCAAGCTTTCCACTGATGGTCACATTCGCGGAAAACGTTATTCTATGGAATTCGTTACAACTTGAATGTCACTTCAATTCGCTTGTACGCATATGTATTTATTTCAATTTGATATATTTGTTGAAATAGATTCCTATTTTATTTTCTTGTAGTATTTATTTCTGGAATATGAGAATATTTACTTTGTAACTCAGTCCTAGTTTCCCTTGTTAAAAAAACGAACCCTCCCGACTGTCCTTGAATAGGATCTGGTGTTCCAACTGTATAATAGGAAGTTTTTGAATAGGAGCCCCAAAATCTTCAACGTATGAACGCTTTGGGTCAAGCAGAAGCAACGAGTTTTGGAAAAGGGTCTGCGGTGCTTTAGACACTCCCCATATTTTCTGTTACTCTAGTTTTGGCCGATAGCCGTCACATTATTGCGTGCCATCATATTTGTCTAACCTAAATCTTTTGGGGCAGGCTTAGGGACTCCCGCTAAGTTCAAGAAGTCGCGTCCCCATCCCAAAGCCCAAACGTGGTTTGGGTTTTGCGCATGCGCTGTGGCCTTGACGCTATTTTTGGGGGGCCCCAAACTTTTGGGACCCCTATTCGAAAACTTCGTAACAACCACCCACTACGTGTATATTACACAAGCTTTATTTTTTTTTCACAGAACTAACTGGTGTAGTGAAAACATACAACACGCGTATAAACTCACAAAATAAAATTTGGTGACATTTTTTTTAGCTATAGAGCACTTAAGCTTTCTAAATGGCCAAATTAACTTCCCAAGCTGCCATTTTTTTTTACCAATACATAGCTGCAAAGATACAGGCCATATTTAGAAAATGTAAGAGCACGGCATGTTGAAACGCTAATGAGTGCATAAAATGTGTGTATTTAACACTGGGAACCTGAACGCTGTACAAGCTCCACTCAAAAGGCGGCAAGGGTGCGTGTCACGACGTTTTTTCCACTACTCTTTGCGAAAATAGGCCGTCTAGGTAATCCGAAAGGCTCAAGTGATACTTACTGAAACACCCACAGCAAGGTGAAGAAATCCATCTCGACAGAGTCATAACCTGTTAGACCGAACCTGCAATAAAGTAGAAATGCAAATACGTTGATGCCTTCGGGAGAGATTTATATGTGATGCGTACAGACATTTTAGTAATATATTTGTGGCAACGTGCATTTGCTGCGTTCCAGACAGATTATAACCCCGACTTCGCAAAACTATATGCAGTTTCCGTGAGCTAATTCTTGGTGTCGGGTGCTCCGTTTGAGATAAATTATTGATGGGATCTGACTGAAAGTTATAGTCTCAACTTTTTATATTGAACATAAAAAGAAGCAGATTTCTTGAACCAGCGCGTTAGCACTGTGATAGCATCTGCAGTAGTTCACTCGACGGTAATGTTCTAGGGTTAGTTCACTCTCAGCATTCACCTTGAATATAGACGATTAACACCATAGAAGTGTGACCTTTCTGTAACGTTAAAACAATAGAAGACTCAGCAGATATAGTGTACATTCTTCTAACTTCTTTTATATGCGACAGCAGGCACATTTTAAACATGAAATTGATGTCATTAAAACAACTAATAACATGATTTAGATCATAGTAACGTTATCACTTACACACAGGTATCGTATGACACTTTTTATACATAAAAACTAATATTTCAATGGAAAATTGTCCTCTTTAAATGCCACTATGGTCACTAATATCTATTCTCTTGGATTAGCGTCATCCCGGGGACAGTCTTGTGTCATATGCTACATGCCCCAGTGTGATGTTTCTCGTCCCCCAACAAATTTTATAATTTCGATGTTAAATGTGATGTAATACTGAAAGTCCTCACTTACATCCATGCCGTTGCTCCTACAGCATTTGTAGAGTCGTTCATAGCGAGATGATGCACGACAACAGCACTCTTCATTGTACTGCAAAATGTTTCGAATGTGCCATAGTCTGCAAACAAAAGCGTCATTGTAAGTTACCATCCATTAATAGTATTCTGCTCACGCCTTTACGTCTCACGATATCTTATACTGCGTGCTGCATTTCAATTTGCATGCTTCCCATACTGATCTTTCATTTAAGATGCCGTGCTGTGGGTCATGAAGAATTATGGCCAACGTGCAACGTATGAGTACTGTATTGCGGTCGTGATTTCTGGTTATGAAAAAGTGCTTGCCGATTGTGTGAATTGCACTTCCTGTGGCTGTTTCCTGTAGGCAAACGGCCTATCATTTTTTGTCATGCAGGCAGCTGCCATGACTAAAGTGCAACGTTTGGTGTTATGAAAGTTTAGGATTAAAATAAATGTTTGTAGTGTTTCTAATCTAACAAACGAGGGGTGAATTTTTTATTTAAGTTGTAATTTAGCACGCAGTCTTAGCAGTATCTATTGCCAGATTTAATCCAGAACGGCATTTCCATATCCCATATAAGTGTCTTTTCTGAGAAAATATTGGCGCCAGTTCTACAACACGGCGACACCGAATACTATAAAACAAGTATTGTCAACTAAGACCGAAATTATAGTAGTACTTGACAGTTTCACAGTCTCTAAAATGGAGACTCTAGGCCCTCACTACAGAATTCTTTAAAGTAGTCATTACTGCGTAGCTCTTAACATACTTAATAAAGAAGCAAACCTACGGGACGAAGAAAACTGTGACACGCCTATGTGTAGAGCTGGCGACGTGCGGCCGACTACTTACGTCGAGACTCCTGGCATAAATCATGTCTGTAAAAGTGGGGTTGTTCCCCGGCATTGACCTGTAACGTTGCGCATAGTTTTCAGTGATCGTGGGGGCGTAGGACTCTGATGCCACTTTTAACTTTTTACTTGTATAGGCTTTGCTTCTTAATTATATAAATGACGTTTCAATTGATTCCAGCATTTCTCGGGCCATCGCATAAAACAGTTTTTCAGCGGGACCTCCATTGCTAGTTCCTGTGACTGCGTATCAATTTGGTCACGTCAAGTTGCGAGATATGCAATACAGTATGAATTTATGCAACCTAAATCAACGATAAAGTAGTAAAACGTGCCGAGCAATGTTTTCCTTGTGCTTCAGCTGGGAACTCGTTAACGAGTAAGCGTGCGCTGGCGTTGGAAACGGGAAGGCTGCTCGCCGTCTACGGTGAAAGAACAGGCCTACATTTGCGATGGCGTTCACGTAATCTCTCTCCTTTCTCTCGCCCTTCACTACAATCGGCAACAACTTTTGTAGCTACGCTGCCACCCTGCTATCGTGTAGCCAGGTTTGAATCACCAAGCCGGCTGCCTGACAGGGGTTTCCCCAGAAGTGACAGGGCCTCTCTCACTGTGTTTGTGCATCGCTTGCTCCTGGTCTGCAGTTCGTAGTCACCTGTTTGCGAAAGCCTCGTCCCCTGCGTAGACTGTGTGCGGGGCAGCCGGAACTATGGAGGGCCTGTTGTGGGTTTGCCCAACGTTTCGTGCACAAAGAGCAGTCTTGATCGCAGCTCTTCGTCGCTATTGTCTGCCCACGGCTACATAGAGGGACCTCCTCTACCATGCATGACACCACACCTTGGTCTTCAATGCGGTATTCACATCCTTGGGGACACTACACTGGACAACCAGCAATAGAAGCCGCCCGCCAGGCTCCCAGTCATAGACACCATATCTTTTATTCTTCTCTGTTCTCCATATCTTTGATACTCACCCCTCCCCACAAGCACTGAGCCATCCTTCCAACTAGTGCTGCAGAAGTTGAGCCTTTTGCTTTCATCAACCTATTTTTCACGATCTCTCTTGGCATTAAAACGATAGCCAAATAGCAAAATCGCGTGAATTCCACATCCAGTAAATGTAGTTCTACAATAGCTCCCGTATTTTAAACGCTAAATATGAATTTCCCTTCTTTATTTTCTACGTTGACCTCTTTGAGGCACGAGACAGCTCACACCAGAAGATATTCATATATATTTTAATTTATTTTTTTAAGCGTGGCGTTTTTCAAACACCCGCGAAATGTTCGCCTTTTTACGTATACCTCTAACTGCTACGCGACGTCTGCGTCTACATGAAACGCTGATGGTGCACCCCGTCACCTCCCACAGCGTTATGACGCCCGTGTCAAATCGGATTACTTCGTGTAGTGCTACAAGTGCGGATGCTTTGACGCCGTAGCTTTTTCTTCAGTGCCATTAACAGTGGTCGCCGATTATGCACATCTCTCCTTGTAACCTTGGCTTCATGTTTGCACTAATTACTACATTTAATTCGCCATGGCAATAAAGTATTAGACTGGCTATGCTATGCTTTATCCTCTTTCTCCCGCATTCCCATTCTATTCATCCACACATCCACTACTCGTAACTCTCGCTTCCTCTTCCCGCCTTTTTATCATACTACGCTTGGCTGTGTTGAAAGCGGTTCTGTTATAAATGACTGTAGGCCATTTGCATTACAAGCAGGCGGCTTACTGCAGAGCATCGCTACCACTTGATATTGGTCAGAACTCCTTCAGTTAACATCAGCTATTATCCGTATAAAAAAAAGCGCAGCTAACTATTACATCACCAATTTAATAGCTTTGATTTACTTACAAATGTACTTGTCCTCCGGCTCCTCTCCAGTTTCTTTTACGTACAATGGCTTCCTAAAATCAGCAAAAATCATGCTATTAGTACAAGTTCATTCATTTTGACATTCACTGCTATGTAAAACACGAAAATATTCCGTATTTTACACAAACACATGAAGAAGAATGATATATTTACTATTTATGAAAGACAAATACATTTTATACAAACATATACCAATCATATCAAAAGGTGAAATAATGAAAAGCGTAATTCCTTTCTTTTTCATAACCATAGCAACAGCTGTCTCATTCAATATGCGCTTTAGCTATAGGTGTCCTGCAACACCTTTTCAAGTGGCCATCAAACGGATTCACTAAGGCAGTTTATTGCCTCACGAAATCACTGCTGAAAAAAAATTTAGAGTCCGTTCAGTCCAAGTGGAGTTACAAAAATTTGTCGCACACTGCATTTGCATTCTCCTCTCGTAGCGAGGAGTACCGGAAGGTAAGCATCGAGAGATGGTGAAAAGGAAAAGAAAATACGTCATGCGTGACTCGCGACTTCAAGCACTTTTAGAGGTGAAGATCCTTGTGCCATGGGTTGTGCGCCCATGATGTATGAGTAGTAGTAGTAGTAGTAGTAGTAGTAGTAGTAGCAGTAGTAGTAGTAGTAGTAGTAGTAGTAGTAGTAGTAGTAGTAGTAGAGTAGGTAGCCATCTCTCATTTAGTCCTTCGAATGTCCGCTGGGTGGCGGCACTTCTATATGATGAATATTTGACGAAAAGATGCGAGGTGGTGGTCCTTGGAGGGTTCACTAGATGGACGTACGGATGCGTGGACGGACAGACAGACAAGCAGATGCACAGAATGAACGGACATGTGGACGGACTAATAGGCAGACAGACAGACAGACAGACAGACAGACAGACAGACAGACAGACAGACAGACAGACAGACAGACAGACAGACAGACAGACAGACAGACAGACAGACAGACAGACAGATGCACGGACGGACGCACGGACGGCTGAAAGGACGCACAGACGGCCACATGAGCGGATGCACGAATACGCACGGGCGTACGAACGCACGTACGGATGGACGCGTGCACGGACACATGAACGTACGAATGCACGGACGAACGGATGGGCGCACGGAAAGACGCATGGAAGAATGCACGGACGGACGCCTGGACAGACGGAAGCAACAACGAACGAATGAACGGAAGTTCGGATGACGCTTCGCCTCACTCATCATAATTCTGTCCGTGGATATGCTGTATTTTTTTTGGTTCACGCCAAGTTTGTGGGCTGATCACGCTGGCACGCAGATGTAATCGGCTAGATAGATCGATAGATACGCAGATACGGCCAAAAGTGATTGCAGTGCGCTATGAAATTGTTTCGCATTAAAAAAAAAAAAAACGTCAGGTAGCCTGGCTGGCAGAGGATCATCGCTTCGTAGGCGCAGTAGTACGCGGCAAGTTATTACGGTGAGTGTTATGCACGGGTACCGATATCCTGCCAAGCACCCTCACCTTCTGCGCTCAGCCCCGTTGTACAACGATGATAGCTCCACCTCTGCCACTTATGAGCGTTAGACATTTTGCTCACGGCAGAGGCCATTATGGCATAGAGTGGAAGGTGGTTAGAGAGCCGATGGACGTTGTCAACTCTGGGCAATGCTAGCCGCGGTACATGCCCAACAACGCTGCCTTCGACGTATACACACATCATGCGCCGGCTTGTTAAAAAACCTTCCTACAGAAACGCCCTGTCCAACTCCAAGCAGGCTCTTATTACATCATTCACTTTGTGAACATGGTGGTGATTTTTTACATGCCAAGTATCGTATGGTCGATCTCAATTCAGTGTGCGGTGAGACATCCCTTGCTGCGCGTCCCCCTTTCCTCTGTTCTCTCCTATGCTGCCCCCTCTCTCGCCTCTTTTGCCAGCATGCCCCGCGACACTGTTAGAGTGAGCAATGTACTTCGTATTTCGTAGTAATTGTAACGCAGGTTTTTAATTACGGTAATGTAGAGCTTGTAACGCTTTTCGTACGTAGTCCAAATTTGATCCTCGTGATTGGTAGAAGTTCGTGGGACATTCGATTCCTCAAGTTGCTTTTTGTAAGAGGCACAACAGGAAACACTCGCTCCGATTCTGCTTTAGGCTTAAGAGAGAACACAATTTTTTTAGCCCTCTATGCAATATCTTGCACATGACTAGCACCTTATACATGCGAATAGGCTTATACCTCGATCCAGAATTTCATTGATGGCATGTCGGCTGCTCAAATCCCGAACTCGATAAATGTACCATACTTGCTCTTCAATACAGGCTCAGGGCAACCGAATACTCTCTTGGGGAGGTTTCCAAACCCTTCGTCGTATTCAACCCCTCAACAGATCAAGCGATGTGCAGTCTGCAGCTAGAGTCGCCGGAAAACAAGACTGGCTGGGCTCTTCGCATGCAAATCTTTTTTTTTTGTGCCTGTGTTATCTGATCACGCAAAGAACACCTTAGACGCATTCACGTTAGAAACGCATGGAGTGCATCGTGCGCCGCACACAGACATAAAAAGAACGGGCCAGTCGTTTTAAAGGAAATAAAATAGAACAGTTGACATAACAAACGTCACTACTGACAAGTGCAGCAACGTCGGCAGTGAAAATATCAGACCAGAATGAAAAATGACTGCAAGAACATGAAGATGCGTGCGCTTTGAGCCAGACTTCAGAGAGCCGCGCGAATCCACTTCTCGCCTACGTTCGCCTAGGGTGGCGCCACTCGTAAGGCTCAGAGCATTAGCGCGTGAGACGGATAGGGCTAAAAAACTGAACGAGTCTTCCGCCAGCCAAATTACAGCGCTGTCTAACTTATACATTGTGAAAATGATGGCGGTCAGGACGCGTTTCAGGCCCACACAATTGCTTATGGTATTCCGAGTAAAGAAAATGCGATTACGCTGAAAAAGCCGCTGCTAGCCGTGTAAATGAAAACTTAATACTTTTTTTAGTATATTCGAACTTCGTTTGAGTGTATATTAGCTGTCGATTTCAGTGCGAGAATAATAAACAAAAAGTAGCCAAGAAGTCATCGCCATTTTTTTCGTCGCCACGGCCTTTTAAAGGTAGCTAATGTGGCGTAAAATAGCTAAACTTGGCAACCGGGGTGGCCTTCCAGATGTGACCGACACAAACCTATAAAGCAGTATGTGAACGTTGCTGCTTTGAACTGCACTTACGCTGCACTAAACTTTCTGCATCAACGACTACAGAAATTCAAGTGAGTTCAAATATCTAGTGAAATAGCCTCGCTTGTCACCCAGAGGACAATTATTCGTAAAATAGTACATGCATTTCCTTCCTTCATGAGAAACCAGAGCGAAAAAAAATTCAGCTAGACCACCATTTTGGTGGAGTACCAAGAAGAGAGCGGGAAAATAAATGCATTGCTATTGGCTTTGCAATGAACTAGTGGATATAACTTGCTTCTTTTTAGGGGCGAAGCTCCTTAAGGCGTCACCCGATCGTCCTCTGTAGTAACCACCTCTATCGGGTATGTGCCACAGGGGAGCTTAGTTCTTGTAGTGTCTGCTAGATGGCTCTACTTGTATATAATCGTTATAAGATGATCAGATGCGAGATGGTAGTCCTTGGAATGTTTACTAGATGGACGGACATACAGGCGGACATACAGACGGACAGACGCACGGACGGACAGATCGACCCACGATTTGACGGACAGACGGATGCACGAAGGAATGGACGAACTCTTCGTCCCACTCATCATGATTCAGTCCGTAGGTAGATATGCTGGGATTTTGTCGGCATCCTATCACTTGCATATAGCTTTGCAATATGACAAGCTGGAACCATTGTACTTACCTTGTAAACAAATAGTTAATAGTGTTATTTGCGTCTTCCTGAGGGGCAACATGGCTCTTGAACTTCTCAAGAGTAGCGTTCGCATCCAGTGAGCCTGGCTTATTTTCGACACCAAGTTCATCAATCTGAAATCATGATGAAGAGCATTAGACAACATTTCTGTATAACATTAGCCACGTCTTCCTCTCAAAACAGATGTACGCAGATATGCACATAGGGAGAACCATAAGAACACTCCTCAATCATTTGCCACTCGCATTTTCTTTAATAGTGTATGGTTGTTATATAGTTGCAACATAATCACATTTGGGTGCACGTTAAAGAACTCCAGGTGGTCGAAATTTCCGGAGCCTTCTATTACGGCGTCTACTCATAGTCATGTGGTGGTTTTGAGACTGTTAAATCCCACCCATCATTGAATAAATCAATCAATCAATCAGTTGCAACATCACTTCAAGATAGAATGAAATTTGGGGAAGCTGAATTAAGCTTATCTAATGAACGTGATTTTCCGCTACCGGGTGCAAAATCTGGTTTCCAGGGGTGCGAAAACTGCTCTTGAGGCTTTGAAACCAGAAGAGTCTCTGGCCTAACCACCACTCATGAAGTTTCGAAGGACTTGTCAATCAAGTTCTTGAATATTAAACTCATGCTCCAGGCAGATCATATTTACTGAAAATTTTGTGCTCACAACTGTAAACACGTGTTTATGGCCATCTGCTTAGGCTTCGCTCTCCTGAATACTTGCAACCTTTTCGTCGCAGGTCAAGAGTGTTCAGACAGGAGATAACCCTCTATTGGATAACTCTCGGGCATAAAAAAAGTTGTCCAGAGGCATTGAAGCGGATACTGGTGCAAGTATGCTCGACAAAAAGAACAAAAAAAAACTATAATCATTTCTGATGTACACACAAGATGACTTAATATTGTACCCTGCATATAAGGCAATAATATGGTTTTAAACAGTGCAACAAAACTCTCAACCGCAAAGGATGAAATGGAAGCGGCATGTAGGCACCGGGTACTGGGATATACAATTCAACACAAGGATAGATTGCTGATTCGCCAAAAAGGTTTCGTATTCCGTTTACCTGCAGTGCTACCGACTCAGGCTCAATCAGGGGGCGTGCGAACATAAGCCTTCGTGAGCGCAAGAGAAATACCACGAATGATGTTGTAGTCGAGTTTAGAAAGTAATACCCGACAATGTGGTTGATGCGCATCCTTTGACGACAACTAGACTGTATTCACCCAAAATGAGACAACACGTGGGGTGGTTTAAAAATTTAAGCCAGTGGTAGACATGAGATCATTCTTCCTTGCAATATATCATTTATTTGTCGCTTTTAGTTTGTACACAACAGCCGCACTATGTAGCTATTATGAATCCGTAGCACTAAATTGTCATCGCCCAAAATTTCTGTTACTGCTCTAGCTGAACGTTTCCTCTAGCTCCGCTCCGACAAGGTACAGCGTTGTATTTTTCCCATTGTTTCAGAAATCATATATTGTGCGAAGCAGACATTTCTTAATGAGGGGCAATTCAGAACGTTTTTAATTTTAGACTTACCTGGTCAACACTTACTACTTCGATTTTAATCATTATTGACAGAGAGTGGAAAAAGGCCTCAACCTGAAAAGAAAATGCTGACATATTATATATACAAATGTATACACTAGAAACTATAGTTCCGACTGCAGTGCGTAATAAATAAAAATAAAGCAGCAGCACCATCTCATGTTATTATGCAGCAGAACAACTATATCAATTCAATTGAGAGATTCATGGCTTTTTCGCCCTACGTGTGAAAGGAAGCTTATAACCATATATTACTTTACCGCGGGAAGGTTGCGGCACACTGTACTGGCTGGCGTGTTTGCAAAGGTCTACAATATTTTCTTTTGTTCTCTTTCGAAAAAGTGGTCATGTTGATAAACAGTAGAGTTAACAAATGTTTCACCTAATAGATTTTGAAAATTTTAGCACAAGTTGTGAATGCTGCGTAGAACGGGTGTATTGAAATGTTTTATTGCACTTGCAATTCTACAGACACTCTTCAAGTGTTTTTGCAATCAACGTCACGTGTTGCATCTAGTTCTAATCGATAACGTATTCCCAGGTATCGTAAGTTTTACCTGCTGGTAAACGCAAACGAGGGGGCGAAGAACTCGGCTGAAGCAGATGAAAAATCAACGCCACAGCAATCCGTACAAATGGTTAGCCAACGAAAGCTGAAGTGTTTGGCCCTGGTGTTGACAGTGGGCTCAACTGAACGCTGCACTGAATTTGTTTCAAAATATTGGTTACATTTTCATAACGAATATTTAGTGCTTAAAGAACCCCTGGTGGTTGAAATGTCCGGTGCCCTAATTACAACGTCTTTCATAGTTATAATATTGTTATAGGACAAAAATACCCAACATTTTATACTACTGGCTTCAATGACGGTTACGTGAAGCCTCATTGGCAAACTCAAAATAATAAGTATGATGCCAATTCCCAGCGGACTCACTCCATTTCTTCCTGGTGTTCTCTACCTTGAAAATTTCCCAAAGCTCCACAAAAACTGCGTGAAACCTCTGCACTTGAAAAGCTTTCAAGGAGAAAGGTCTGGACATTTAATGAACGATTTTCAAACTAATTTCAAAGTTTTGTCAATAACAATCTTCGTTGGATATATTTGCATCAGTCTTCCCCGCTTTATATCACAGCTTGACACGCAGTTCATTTTAACATACTATCCACGTCTCGAAGTGACGTTTTAAAGGTGTTTGTGTATATCACGCACACCTGGCACAAAAAGTTCGAGCTTCATAACAACCTTGATATATTGCTCTTTTTTTTCTATATGTCATGCACCACAGGACACCCGTAAATATGACGTCGTGGCGTCCCACTTGGTCTTCGCGACGGTTAACAGCAATACATCAGTCATCAGAGTTCACATTTTATAACATAACCTAATACATTATAATACATTATAATAAAACATTATAATAAAACATTATAATAATACATTATATAAAACAAACATAATACATTTCTGCGTATAACCTTGTTTCGTGCACATAAATTGTAAAGAAAACAAAGCTTCGCTTTTCTCACCTGTTCGAAAAGTTTCTTAAAATCCTCAAGAGTTGGCGCCTTTTCATCTTCAGTGACTTCGTTTTCCGATGAGCCTGTTGACTTTAGTGTAGAATCATAAAGAACTCTTGCGGTTACAGTCACACCATGACCCACTTCCGGCAGTGACCACTGATAATCTGAGTCTACAAAAGAGATCACACCAGGAAACACTTATAAACAGTGTTACTGGCCTCCATGTCCTTACCGTTAATGCTATGTTTCCAGAAAATCTGTTCACGTTGAAAAGCTTGAATTATAATTTTTAGTGACTGCAGACCAGAGAGTCTGCAGAATACTGTACATTGAACAATCTCCCCTTAATACAGCATACTTATACGCCCATTTTTAAGAGCTCATTTTCTAGATGATATCGGAAATATCTTTTAAAACAAATGTCATATTTCGTCTTCGAATTGAATATTTACGAGTGTTCGTTTTTGCATTGCGTAAGAAAATTAAACAAGCGTTATTTTGATAGCAAACGTTGAGGCAAACGCTACATTAAAAAAGGCATATTGAGAGCCTTAACATGACGTTATTTTATGTGTCTGTTTTAGGGCGGGATCTCTACACGTGCATGTTTCAAATTCAGATGAGGTACAGAAAGTGCCATACGCAAGAGGTTAGCTTAAAAGACCAGTAAACAAGCAAAGATTTAAAATATGCGATGAGTCGATTTTCTGCATTCGTGCAGTGTGTACATCCGGCCAAACATAATCCGAATAAGCCATGTGATAATGAAGTTACGGGGTAGAGTGCTACACGATTAATCTAGCATCATATTCTCGCTTCGCCTTTCTACTCTTTTCGACAGCCAAGAATTAAAGGTGTCACCCTCTGTCGTGAGCACACCCATTTTGGCATCCTAGCCAGACTAGAGCGAATACGTCAACGGCAAGCAGGCAAAAACCACGTAAGGCCTTCTTAACGGGTCACTCGTGTCTGAGTGACACTCGGGTGACCCTAGTGGCGGGGTGAACAAGCGCTGTAGATGTTTGGCCGAAGTCGCAGCACCGCAGGGTCAGGGTTGCACCGCTTCGCGTCTCAGATGTCTAAAAAAAAGCCACAGCTTTACCGCAAAGACGAAGCAATGAACGTGATAGCAACAAATTGAAAGGTAACGCGCACAATGGTAAGCAGGCCGAGACGTGCCCCGTCTTTCTCGTGCATCGCGAAAAGACGCACGAAACGTACTCACAGGTACATATTAACATGAATAAGCGTGTCAGTTGTTACTTCGCTGTGTCTTAGAAGTGCGCCCTTCTCGGAAATGGAGGCTGTGCAACGATTGCAGTTACCTTTGTGCGCCCGGTAACTATAACAGAATCGTACCGACAAAACTCGAAGACTAGCCAAGATGTACGATTCTTCCCTATGCAAGATAAGGGCGTGCGATCGAGCGTACACCCCCTTATTCTCTACGCGGGCCAAAGTACGCGTGAGAGATGAAGGCCACCGTGCGCTTACTGCGACATCTTGCTGATAATACTGAAAACACGATGCCCCCCAGATGCCCGCCAACAGCAGTAAGTGGTAGATATGAATAGCCTGTCGTTTGAACGTTGAAGGAGGTACCTCTCGGTGGCTCAGTAGAAGTCACGCATTGACGACGCGGAGGTCCCACGTTTTATTTCGCACGCCGGAGTCTATTTTCTGGAAATTGTTTTCTTTCTTGCGTTTTCATATATAACGATACGTATTAATATACGGTGCATGACATCGAAGCCCACGTCCACACCGACGCCGGCAGCAAAATCCCGCCGAGAGTGTCCATATCATTGCTATCGCAGTAAAATGTAAAACCTAAAGCGGCCCAAGAGGGCGATTTTGTGACTTTGCATGCCAATTGAGGTAACTAAAATAAGCTAAGGATGGACACAATCATTGTTTTTGTTGAAAAAAATTTCACGATACGCAGAGCTGTGGTATTACTCAATTTTATCTCTTCTTTTTTGAGACAAGTAAAAGTCGTTGTCCTTTCATGTACATTGAAAGGAGCGTTTGTCGTGGCGGAGCGAGTCTTTTAGGCATTAGTATACGTATCCTTCTTCGCTTGGGCCAAGGGAGCGTGCTCGCTTCATTCTCTGTTCACCGCTTCATTGACCTCTGTTCATTCAACGTACTAGAAAGCACAATTCCCAAGCTCGAGAGAAACATTCTCTCGGGCAAACTTTCCCCGAGAGTTTTCCCGTATATGTCCTTAAGTTCCTTGAGAATAAACATAGACATGAACAGGCATATTTCTGCATGTTCCTAGAATAGTCCACTCAAAGTAGTCATGTCCTTTGCGTAAAGCCTATAAACAGACGCGCATCAATATTACGGTTGCTTATAACGGTAAATGAAAGCCACTCCTTAATGATTGGTATTTTTTTCTGTAGCGGACTGACTGAAATAACGTTTTCTGACTTGAAAGAATTATGTTCTAAGATCCCCTTTTTTCTTCTGCTCAGAAGATATAGAAGCTATTTTATCTAAGAATACGCTGATGACATAGATGTCTGGACTCGCATAATGTGTAATGCTTGCACCACAAAGGCAAAACTCTTGACGAGTCGCAAACCTTCTTTTTTGTTACTTTGTCATCAGACATACATATTAAAATTCAACACAACATGCGAAATTCTCCGCACTGGACACCACTTCTGCTACTACAGACAACGACACCACTGTCAATTCATGACGCACCTGCGAAGAACGAGCGCTCGTGTACGTTTCTGGACAAACTCGCCTATTACTACCGCAGTGCGACGCGAGGAGAGAAGGGGCCGCCAAATAAAAGTACACGTTTAGCTCTCCTCTCCAGTTGTTTCACTCGCACCACAGGAGAAGGGCTTTCTACAACGTTCCAGAAAAGTCTAGCAGTTTCGCGAGGTTTATCGAAAGGAGCTCCGACATAACCATTCTGCAGTGTCATATCGAGCATACTGATGTTGCATGAAACAATTATCACTCAAATGATCGGACGAAAACTGTTACAATCGGCATAGTATGCCCTTCAGATCTAAAAGAAGGACATTTTCCCAAACTAAATTAAACGAAAAGCCTTGCGAACAATACGGCTGTTTTGTGATTAAACCCCAATAGTGCAACTGTAGAGAATATATTGTTTGTAGAATAACCAAAGTAAGTTTCTGGATTTGTTCATGAGATATGTTGCATTGCTCGCGTTAAACCTGTGTAGCGCGCTACAGGTGCCACGTAGAAGAAGGGCGTGGTGTTGATCTGCTTTGCTAGAGGTTCTACCAATCCCAGCTGAGCACACAAAACTTTTCGATCTACTTCATCAGATAATCTTACTTTATTAGCCGTACAGATAATTTTCTTTCCCCTTACGAAGAGTTATGCATGCAGGTTACGTGTTTCCTACAAAACCTGTCACTTGAACCAGAGCCATAGACGTATAATTTTAGACGACTCCAACATTACCGTTCGATTCCCGGCTGCGGCGGCTGCATTTCCGATGGAGGCGGAAATGTTGGAGGCTTGTGTACTCAGATTTGGGTGCACGTTAAAGAACCCCAGGTGGTCAAAATTTCCGGAGCCCTCCACTACGGCGTCTCTCATAATCAAATGGTGGTTTTGGGACGTTAAACCCCACAAATCAATCAATCCAACATTACCAAAGTCCTGGACTGGACATCTTTAAAACAGACACAACAGCTTCTCTAGATGCTTGTGCCAAGGCATTCCCAGATATCTGTCTCTAAACAATATCTTTAAAACAGACACAAGATTTTCTCTCGATGCTTCTGCCAATATATTCCCAGATATCTGTCTCTACACTCTGCTATCACCTTCGTTACTGCCTACAAAAGACAGAAACAGCTTCTACATCTCACATCTCCTTACACCTGACACAGTGCGACCAACCAAGGTTTTCCGCGTGCACACCTATTCAAGAGGCCTGTTGTAGCACCGAAAGGCGGGCGAGTTGGAACTTATCCATAGTGGGCAGCGCACAAAAGGAAACACACAAGAGAAGGAATCAGGACAAGCGCTGGAGAAGGAAGCAAGAGGCCTACCTGGTGGGTATAGGTCGTATTGCTCGTATTCCCCGTATTGCGAGTATGGACCGTAATAGTAGTAAGCACGAGTAGATGAGATGTATGCGATAAGGAAAAGTAAAATGGCTGGATTCATATTAGAATATATGCGAAACGTATAGAACCGGGTCAGTCAAGTTGTAGCAACGTCTCGCAGAACTCCGCGAGCAAGTTCTTTTTATATATAATTCTGTGGTTAAACAGCTTTGTTACTTGTAGCTGGTTGACATGAGAATATTAATAATGTGACTCGTTCGTTATGAAAAAGCTGTGAAATGTACAATAAAATGCATCACTCTTTACACTATGTCTCTGCCTTCACCCTTTTCATGTTACCGCGTCGTTACATGTGATGCAGTCATTGTTCTGGTGAAATTCCATTTCACTGAAGTAATCCCGTGGCATCGTTCAGATCGGTTCACATCGCTTTGGTTATTTTCGTGATCAGTACCGCCTTCACTGAGATATTGGTATTATGACCTTTACCAATACTAAGAAAGACTCTCTTAGACTTGATGACTAACTGTAGGGCCAAATGAATAGAGTCGGAAAGTACAGACTAAAATGTCTTTCGCTGAGTAAGCATAAATTCCAAACTACGTCATCTATACGCTGTCAAAGCCTAGAAATGCTCTGTTACGGCTTCCGAATCTGGAACAGTGGGAAGCTTTTTCTTTAAAGGTTAATTGTACACTTGTCAGTTATAAGTAATGGGTTTCACAAATATATCGCCGCAAAAAGTCTATGTTCATCTGCAGTATGACCAAGTATTTTAACATATGGCAAGCTTTAATGCTCTTAGCTTTCGCACGTCTGATATGTAAGTTTGCTGATAAAGTAAGCGAAGGCCAAAGTTAGTTTACCATATTAAAATACACTTTTTTGATGTGCTAAGTCACATTTTGAGTCAAGTTCTTGTAGAATTACACTCTATGCAAAGGTAATATGCAATAGTAGTGCTCAGTGTGAACAAGAAAAAGCCTCACGAACTCTTAGTTGTAATAATCAAATTTGTTTTAAGATTTTTTAAAGCACAGTTGTTAAAGATTTCTAAATCAAAGAAGCTTCAAAATTAAGTTTTATCATGACGATAGCTCTTTCTGCAGTATGCGGGGCAATTATTAAAAGAACTGAGTCACTTAAAAAATTATGCTGTGATGTGCGTAATTATGAAAAATTTGCTGACCCAACCTTTAAAACATGTGTTCAAACAGTCATGATCGGCCATATTTTGTATGACAAACGGGCTCGCAAGATCAGGTTGTTCTCTCAGAAGAACAAGAAGAGAAAAGATTATTTGATTGATATGTGAGGTTTAACATCCCAAAACCACTATTTGATTATGAGAGATGCCGTAGTGGAGGGCTCAGGAAATTTCAACCACCTGGGGTTCTTTAACGTGCACCCAAATCTGAGCACACGGGCCTACAACGTTTCCGCCTCCATCGGAAATGCAGCCGCCGCATCCGGGATTCGATTCCGCGACCTGCGAATCAGCAGCCGAGTACCTTGGCCACTAGACCACAGCGGCGGGGCGAGAAAAGAATATTTATCTGTATAATTGCAATACTATAGAAATTTTTTTGTTTCTACATAAGGTAGCATTATTCTTCCAAATGAATAACGGCAAAGGTAAAGTCTTGAAGAGTAACTTTCCTGAAATTTTTCCAAAATAATGGAGATTCGTTTTCAAAAGGAAGGTGGGATTCATATTAGGACGAGGAGTTAAATTTTTAGATACAATCACGTAATGACAGATATTAGATGAAATATTTGCCATATTTCTATTCGAACGTTTCTCCGATACTGTCTCACACGCCAAATAAAAGCAAGTCACACAGAAGGGACCTCCCGCGTTTGGATATGTGACGAGAAATTAAAACTCAAAATGAGTATGGTGCAGACGGTGCTCTACGTGGTCTAGCAGAAGTGTGACATTTCGCTATCATTCACTCAGTAAAAAGAACTTCACTCAACATCATTGAAGATGTACTGATACGTGTGTGGTAATATTCTTTACTAGCGATTTCAAGGTTACCGTGGTAACTAAAGTAAAAGATTCGGGATATCTAACGAATGAAGTAGTTAAGCAGAGCGATTGGCTCACCCATGTTCTACTGGCATATAATAGGCAGCTTAAAGTCCCACGTAAGAGCATACCCTTATCAAAGCGATGACTTGGTATCTTAAGTTGCGGTGATTGGCGTATTCTTCCGAGCTTGATCAGCGCTTGCTTGCGGCTTTCTGAGTCATGCGATACAAGTGTGAATTACCTGTATTAGATACGTGCATTTTATAGGTCGCGGTAGGGTGTATGGGCCACGCGTGAGGGAGACAAATGACGTCATGGCGTTCACAACATGCAGGTCATGTTACTCATGTCAAAAGATTTTTATTCGTGTTTGTCACAAGCTCATGCCTTACTACGGTAATATAGGTTTATACCAAGTTAAGGAGGCAACCACAAGAGCGCCCGGATGTATACTGTGATAGATAGATAGATAGATAGATAGATAGATAGATAGATAGATAGATAGATAGATAGATAGATAGATAGATAGATAGATAGATAGATAGATAGATAGATAGATAGATAGATAGATAGATAGATAGATAGATAGATAGATAGATAGATAGATAGATAGATAGATAGATAGATAGATAGATATTTGTTTTGTAATGAAAATATGAGGATTTAAATGGGCCTGTTTAAGTGATGCCACAGGAACAGTTAACCCACGGGCACTCATGATGACGCAATGAATACCAAGATGTGGTAGGTGCAGCCGAGGATGATCGCACGACAGCATTTCTAAATTTTCAGTCATAAAGCGGCATTAGCTTGCTTAGAAACAAAATGGGTTAACGAATATCACGAGAGGCGAAAGCGCGCAACGGGAGTAAAAATGGTTTCTTTCGGCGACTAGCAGCGGTCGCACGACCATTTGCGACTAGTCACAAACAGTCGCCAACAGTCGCAAATGGTCGCAAAGCTGCTGGAACCAATCAGCGATGCCGAGAAGTGACGCCAGCATTTCTGTATATTCAGGGTGATTTTTTTGTTGTTGTTGTTGTTGCGCGGGCCCCCTACCATGTATACAAACGAGTTCGTTCCTCTGAGTCTGTGGCACCATGGCCACCACGGAGTACTTGGCTTGGAGAAGGCGGGGCGCAGCAGCTCGAGCACAATGTCGAATTCACGTAGCGGCATTCGCAATAATCTAAACACCGTCAAATTAAGAGAAAATAATTCTGCAATATTTTCCCCCGTGTTCAGAATCGTTTTTTGTTTTGAACTTGACCTCCAACCGCCTTCAATGCAGAGCGTTTGGAACGCGTTTGGGCTTCATGCCTTGGCACCGCCTAAAGACACCACGTGCTGCTTGAAGGCTGTGGCAAGTCAAGTTAAACTCGAGGAGAGTTTCTGAATACGTGCCACTATCGGAAATACTTCACGTCATCTCAGCGCAGCTCGGGAAATAGGCGCTTGCACGGCCAGCCAACTCTCTCGAGCGAAGGGATGGTCCCATCCACCACCGGCTTGTTTTTCTTTGGAGGCTTCTGTGCAGCCAGCGCTTACACCATGGCATAGCACATCAGCGCCATGACAATCTCTTGTTCTTCGCTTGAAATAAACTTCTTGAGGCTGCTGGGAACGCTGTGCGAGAGCGGACAAAAACAACAAATGCGGCGCACTCGGCCCATAGTTCTCGCTGATAACGAGATCCGGATGTGACTTTCCGGTTTGCGACTTCCGGTCACTCGCATGCAGCGTCTGCTGGTGTGAACATGAGTCGCTTTTTGGTCGCCAGTCGCAAATGGTCGCGAGACCACTGCTAGTCGCCGGTGTGCACCAGCCTTAAAATGCGCTGATGATGGCAATGACTATAGTATTGCGAAAAGGAGTAACCTGCGTTCAAGCACGTGATCTATAGGGTGTAGTAACTGAATTCACACTGAGAAACATGCAGAGTTATGCATCAGAAAACACTGTTGATATTTATGCAGATTTTTGATTATTTGAAAAATTTTTTCTGTCACATTTGTCTTTGTGATTCAACTATGTCACTAAAATATCAAGGTTTTCTGAAAAACACTTCCACTGCCATTCATTGTTATCGCGACGCGATGGCAAAGATGTACCATCGGCGTAGCTAAAAATAATCGCACGTATCATTTCATTCCTCGACAAGAACAGCTCTCAAAAAGATGGCTTCAAAAGCTGAAAGCATTACGTGTTATAAAAGGGTAATTATTGTGCTTCGTTTTTCTATTCTGCATATGGCCTCGACAAAGCTGGGAGAAAAAAAGAAAAGCCTGCTGATGAGTCATACGAGCGTCGTCTCTAATAGAAGCTACACGTGGGAAATTTTACGTCGATAAAGCAGCTGTTCGCAAATGCAACATTTATTGCCATCTAAACCTGGTGACATTTCAATTATTCACAACAATATCTGTGCAAACGCCTGCTACGCAGCCTCTGTATCTAAATCAATTGTTTGATAAATGCAAATGCCAAATTACCATCGATTTGATAAATTTATGTATGTCGTGTGAATGAGACCTCTGGCGGAATTTACTAAGCGCTAATATAAGGAATAGTTGAGGACGTCACACTTGACGCTTGCGACATGCCTCTCGAACATAAAGAAGACCAAATATAATGCAAATATGTGCACATGAAACAAGAGCTAAATCTTGCACTCGTCTTTTAACAAACAAAAACTCTATTCCTGCTCATAGACGACATCTTATTTCTTTCGTTCATAACTTCTCCTGCTGCTGTGACGGTATGACGAAAAACTTCCACAAATCTCGTCTGGGACAAACGGAAATTGTTGCTGCAAGTGACAGAGCACGTTTGTTAGAAGGCAGAACGATCGGCCTGAACTGTTGTACTCTAATCTAATACCTTGCACATGCGAAAACGGAAAAGGAGGAAAGTCATGACGACGATGAAGAGACAGAAAGAAGGGTTGCGTGTGTACAATAATCAGTTAACACCGTGTTTTTTCTAAAACTTGGTGTTCGGGGCAATACTCCGCAGAAATTTTATAAATGGTCTTGCTGCAGATGTTGCTAGGCTTCCGGCTTAAACTAGTTGATTCATGCTGACTGCAGTAAAAAAAAGAAAGCAAAGTTCTGACGAGACACACAAGGTGAAGCCATGTTGTCGT